TTGTGAAAAGACTGTATTTTGACATTTTTCCACGTTTCCACTTAGTACCATTCGCTGCCAGCTACTTCAAAAATTTTGTTTATGGAATTTTTACGTCTGAAGTTTCTACCCCATGTTCTGCCTTTGTATTTTATTAGATTAGAATGTCTGAATAAATTTTTAGAAACAGAAACAATCTCAAAGATCATCTAGTTCAATCCCCCTTCTTTTTCAATGGAGAAAATCTATATATAAGTGGACAAAGAGACGCCCCCGAAGTCGTGCTACTAATTGGCAGCCAAGCCACTCTCTGCCTTCTCTGCAACATTTTGAGGAGCTGTAGATTTCTTTAAGCTATAATAACAATTATTGTCCGTATTGAGACTGTCGAGGACATAAAGGCACAGAATGATGCCAGCGGAACTGAAAACTGCCTTCAACAGTTTTCTACTCCTTAATTAGAATATGAGATTATGTTCTTAAAATCCAAATTGCTAGAGGCAGGCTCTCCAGAGATCTTCTCTGATGACATTCACAAGCTGCTACCTGTATTTTTAATGGCCCGTTGTTTCTCCATGCACTTGTGCCTTAATTTAATCATCCACAGAAAAGATGCAGTCAACATTAGATCCTGGGTGTCCATAGACAGTAATGGGAAGTCCGTGACTATATGTTATAGTAAATACACAATAAAACAAAAGATTAAAAGCCTTAAATAATGCTCAAAGGAATTCTGATTCCTTGTACACTTCTTCCAGTCTGGATCATTGTACCTGTCTTTTACCATCTCCTTTTGCCAAGCACCTAGCAGAAAGACAGTCCAATGCAATACTCAAGGTATTAATATTTGTCTGGCTCTCTCACTGGTTAACAGATTTTAGACATTTCTCGGCCTCTCCTTTTTTCCATAGTAATTCTTTTTCTGCTCACTTCAGAGTTTATTGTATGGATAAACGGGGAAAAAAATCTTAAGCCCTCTGCAAATGTACAATGTAGACATTAATTGTATTTTCCTTCAGTTTGCACTGATTCTATAGGAATAGTGGGTTTTGGTAAGTAAAACCTTATACACTGACCATTGTAAAATATAATGTAGACCTACTTGTTTAAACCAGTATCTTTTGGTGATTGAATCACTGGCCATTTAGAGCAATTACATTCTAATTTTAGAATGATCCTATGAGCACCTAGGGATCCATCCTATTCACTGCAGGAATATTTATGGAGAACCTACTGTGTGCTAGGTTGTACAGCATTGTTTATTATTATAAGACCTACATTTTTCTTTAAAATCAAGGAAACTTTATAATACATAGTTTTGTGTACTATCTCTTTTAGAATTTCAAACTTGCCTATATGATACAATTATCAAGCAAACCAATGTTCACAAGGATAGCAAACTGACAGAAGCAGAGGAGAAGGGCTAGCTGCTTGTACATTTATTTTTTCTGAGAAACTTAATACAAGAGAGGGTATTTCAAAGGCTTTGTAATCAAAATAAAAAAATATTACAGGCTGTGTTTGTTTTGCTTTGTTTTTATAACGTGTAGGATAGAACTCCTTCCCATTTTTCTCCTAGGAAGGTGACATAAAATCAAGCTTATTGGGAACCCTGGAATCTGGCCTTTAGCAGTCTGTTAGCACTGGGCCCCCTGGATCATGCAGGCAATTCAGGAGTCAGAAATGTATCCAAACTAGAGATTTATAATGGTGGTAGTCCATCTACTCTGATTTTAACTTCACATTTCTCTAAAGTCCTGTCCTAGCCAGGGCAGGGAAAAACAATAATCCCATGCATCAAACTTGTCAACAAATGTGTTTTTTTAGCCTTGGCCAGTGTTGCTCAGTGATTAGGGCATTGGCCTATGCACCAAAATGTCATGGGTTTGATTCCCAGTCAAGGGCATGTATACCTGGGTTGCAGGTTCAATCCCCAGCCCCGGTCCGGGTATGTGGGAGGCAACCAATCCATGTGTCTCTCTCACATCAATATTTCTCTCTCTCTTTCCCTTTCCCCCCTCCCTTCCACTCTCTCTAAATATCAATGGAAAAAATATCCTTGGGTGAGGATTAACAAAAATAATAATAACAATAATAATAATAATAAATAAATAGAAATATGTTTTCAAACCACTGTTGTTGATTCGACTCACAGGACACAGAAGATCAGTATTCTGCAACGTTTTTGTCTAGCAGCGTTTCGTATTTTGGCTGGAACGGCCCCCTTCACTCATTTTGCTTTTTGCTGCTTTGGAATGGGGAAGGGGAGCCTGGGGACAGCTTCTACTAGAACGAAGCACGATAATGAATAATTTCAAGCAGTTCATTAGTTTGTGACTTGTAAAAAAGTAGATTGAATATACAAATGCATGTCCTCTCTCTGAACACTTATTGAACAGTAAACCTTCTGCTGAATTCACGGGCATGCAGACCGTGCAGCTGCAGAGCCCCCACTTAAAAGTGCCCACACTTGGTCTCATGTTCTACTGTCACTGTCTTGAAATTCTTAATCATTTTTGAATAAGGGGCCCCACGTTTTCATTTTGCAATGAGCCCCAACAATTATGTAGTCAGTCCTGGCCTTTGTTTCCAGAGAAGCTGGGTAATTGTTTTTGTATCATCAAGAATTTGTGCCTGGCATTAAGAGGGTACACAACAAATGTGTCAATGTATGAAACATCCAGACCTGTAGAGAATTTTTATACGAATTTATTTGAGCCAAAACTGATGACTATCACTGGGAAACAAGATCTCAGATGCTCTCAAGGATGACAGTTTTGCAGTTTCTTTTATGCACTTGGAATTAGGGAACAAAAGTAAGAAAGATTACGTGGAAGTAGGAGAAAGCAAGGTGGGGATTGGATTATAGACTAGTTAACAAAATTATGTGCTGTCTTGAGGGTGGTTATAGCTTATTTCTAAGGTGTGTTAATCTAAAAGAGCAGAAAAAAATGGGCAAGGCTTGCTTCAGGCGAAGAGAAACCTTTTACTAAAATGTTATGTGCCTGGTCTGTGACAACCCACGATGACCCTCCCAGTTGAGAATTTTTTTTCCTTTATTGATTTTAGAAAGAGAGGAAGGGAGAGGGAGAGAGAGAAACATCGAAGAGAAAGAACATCGATTGGCTGCCTACTGCATGTCCCCTACTGGTGATTGGGCCCACAACCTGGACATGTGCCCTGAACAGGAATCAAAGTGGTGACCTCTTGGTGCTTAGGTCGACACTCAACCACTGAGCCACACCAGCTGTACCCAGTTGAGAATTTATAATCAGATCACACTATGAGGTTACTTTCCATAGAACTCCTTTTTCATCCACGAACATTATTAGAAGAGTGATTTTTTTAAAAAGCTTTGCATAAAAGTAATTAACCTGAATCTTTGTCCATTTAATTTTGCTGGGGTGGCAAGTGAAAGAGAGATACTAAATTTTTGAGAGAAAATTTTATAAGTATGACAAACATCTATTTTTCCATCACTGTACATGACAGCTATAATTTTTTTGGTGGTGGTTGTTAATCCTCACCTGAGGATATTTTTCCATTGATTTTTTTTTTTTTTTTTTAAGAAAAAATGGAAGGGAGGGATGGAGGCTGGTGGGGGAGAAAAACATCAATGTGAAAGATACACATCGATTGCCTCCCACATGTGCCTTGACTGGGTCTGCAACTCAAGTATGTGCCCTTGACCAGGAATCGAACCCAAGACCCTTCAGTGAGTGGGCTGTTGCTCTCATCACCGAGCCACACTGGCCAGGGTGATAGCTATCATTTTAATCTATTAGAATGTTTATTTGAAAAGAAAAAGAAAAAATAAATAAAATAAAAAGCAGATAAAGTTTAATTTTTCTACCTTTGATGCCATTTATCTTCCTACCTGCTCACTGAGAGCCAAAGCACTATCATAAATGTTGTCTCTTTACAATGCCAAGAATAATATATGGTAACATATTTTGTTTGTGTGTTTTGATATTTACATAAATGACATGAAACTATATGCATCATTTTGTAATTTGCTATTTTCATTCAATATATTGTTTGTTACATCTATTCATATTGATATATGTAGCTCTAGTTCATTCATTCTCATTACTGTATACAGTTGTGATAAAGTCCCCTTTCCTGAGCTGCTGCTTCTCTTAGTGAGGATGTTCAGAGCAAAGCCAGAGGAGTCTTTCTGTGTATTCTGGTTCTGCCATTGCTATTAGTAAAAGTCACAACCTGGGTGACAATGAGCAAGTTCAGTGATCTTTCCAAAGTTCTGTTATCACATTTGTAAAATGGGATTAATAATTTCAACCACTTAAGATGTTTTTGTGACAATTAAAGAGGATAATATATGTAAAATCTAGCATACGATAAAGGTGCAAAAAATAGTGGTGGAGATTTTCATTATATATATATCTGAAATATTATGAAGCCATAAGCAAATACGTAATGGTGATCTTGAATTTACATTGTTTGATTTTTCTCATTGTACCCTTAGCTTGGCTATTGGTCTTGATTTTTTGTTTATAATAGTAAGAAAATTTCACCCTTGAAATGCAGTCCTGGTTGCATCTTAGAGTTTCAGGTTTACAAAATTGAATGGTATACCTCTAATGCAGCTTCCATGGGGTGAAAGGCTTGAATCCATACAGTTATGAAATTATAACATTAAGCATCTATAAAAGTGTGCTTATGTTCTGTTCTATGTACAACTGGAAAAAATGAACATCTGGTGTTTCCCAACTTTAATTTTGCAAAGTAGCAATAATAGAACTGAGAAATCTTCATTCTGCATAACTGTGCTGCTGCCCAGTTCCCCAGCTTGCAATTAGAAATTCAAAACTTCAGCACGTATTAAGGTATTTTTTAATGTGCTCTACAAATTTTTAAAAAATTGAAACAGAAGCTAATATTGAATGTAGTCCTTGGAGTAGATAAGAGTCTGTGATGTATTAAGAAACTTGAAAAAAACAAAAACAAACATTGTGAATCTCCCTGTGATTTTAAAGCATCATATTTTGGGTTTTCAACAGATTTTATACAATTCGCTATAGAGAAAAAGATAAGGAAAAGAAATGGATTTTTCAACTCTGTCCAGCCACTGAAACAATTGTAGAAAATCTAAAGCCCAACACAGTTTATGAATTCGGAGTGAAAGACAATGTAGAAGGTGGAATTTGGAGTAAGATTTTCAATCACAAGACTATTGTTGGAAGTAAGTACCAGGAACTTAGTAAGCTTTCTGTACATTTTCTTTTCCTTCTAATGATCCAATTTTTAATTATGTATTAGTTGTATAATATGAGATGAGTTAATTCATCTGTATTTGAGGAAACACAAAAGTAAAATTTGTTGAGTACTGATATTTCAGAATCCTTCTTTTTATAACGAGTGCTGTTTTTTCTTTTTTAAAAAAAGATATTCATAATTGATACCTTCATTGATAACAGTTCATTGGTCATCGTAGTATTTTAAATCAATCCCTGACTGATGAACACCAACTTAGCCAAAAACAAATAATGTGTGTAGATGTGCAGATGAAAAGCTGCACCAGTAGAAGTTAACATAAAAAGGCTTTAGGGGCCCCTGGACATTCTTCCTGTTATCCCTTTATTCTAAAACTTTATTGGAAACAGTGTTTAAAATGATAGTAAATAAAGTAATATGCTCTCATTAGAGAGTAATTGTCATTGTTTTCATAATGATCATTAAGAAGTGATTTAGGAACCAGAAAAATGAAAATAATGTCATTTTCCCCTTGTTTTTGTTAGGTATGAACAAAGTAAATGGGAAAATTCAAAGTACCTATGACCAAGTAAACACAGTGGTATGTACCAAGTTATTTTCAAGAATGTTTTTTAAAAATTGTGTTTGCATTGTAGTTTTATTTAAGGAAATAGTCCTATTATTAGGTGCTGAGACTGGATCAACTGATTAGCTATGTATGGGGCATTAGGTAAAAAATACTTAACCTTCCAGGAATTAGCTTGTTTTTCAGAAAACAGAGGTGGATATATAAGAGAAGATCATCTTTAATTTGTTTAAAGATCTAAAAGTTTGATATTGAATATAGTTACTCTAGTACTTCAGTACTCCAGATATTTTGAGAGTATGCTTATTATCTTCTGTGGATTGTTTTATACTATAACATGTTTCAAGAGCAAATTGGTACATGCTCTACTTACATTTTTACTGTTCAAATCTTCCCTCTGTTTTCTCCCACTTCCTCCTCCTAAGAGCCAACCCTTTTCAAAACGATAAAGCAATTGGTTTGTGTTTTTAATGTGCCCAGCCTCTATTTCGTGCAGTAAGGTGAACATGGAAAACTATTCATGGTTGCAAAGCTCTACTGAATGTGTGCATGATGTATATGGATGAATATCTTTTTATGTTCAATTAAATAGTCCACAGAATACTCCATTGATCATGTAGCCCCGTGGAAAGAAAAGGTAGTACCTACCCAAATGGAATTTTTTAAAAATGCTGAATTCTTTTCAGTGACAGCAAATGGGTTTGAATAACATAGAAGTGATAGAGAAATGATCTTGCTAAGGTGATTGTTTCTGTGGTCTGAATTGGCAGAAATGTAAGAATATTGGGGAATTATCTTATTGTGATTATCAGATTGTTATGACTGCCCAGCAAAGTATTTTGATGTATTTCAAATAATAATACAAAAAAGGAGACTGCAGATACATTCCCAAGTCATGAATCTTTTAAAATTTTTCTTTCCTTTCTTTCTCTCTCTTTTGCTTGCTCTTTCTTTCTTTCCTTCCTCCTTTCTTTTTTCTTTCTTAAGCTTTAATTTTTCTTAATTGTCTAATTAATATTTAAAGATTTAGAATGTATAAAATGCAAAAAGAAATATTAACAAAATTGCCATTAACACTGTCAAATGACTCTTATAAAACCATTTATGGTCTACTGTTAAACTTATATTTTTTTTGTCTCTAAACATATTTTCATTATAAAGTTAAAATCATGCTATATATGTAATATCTCACTTTTTTCACTTAGCCAAAATATGACATAGCGTATTTTATGTCATTAAATTCTCTTCATATACATAATTTTAATTGCTGTGTGTTACATTATCTAAACATGCTTTCACCTACCCAAACAGTTTCCACTTTGTGAGCATTTAAGTTATTTCTAATGATTTTTAAATTGTAAGTGATGTTATAGTGAACATTTATGATCATATGTCTTTGTTAACATTCCTGATTATTTTCTTACAATAGATTCTTAGAATGGAAGTTAACAGTTTAGATATGTAATACTTTTTGAACTTTTTAATATGTATTGTCAGATTTCTTTCCAGAAAGTTTACACCAATTTATCATCTTGCCAGCAATGTATGAGAGTTGTCTTGCTATGGTACCTGATTATCATCACTATGTATTTCCATCAGTAAATTTCTAGCTAATGTAATAGTGTAAAATGTTTTTTTAATTACTTTTTCTCTGATTGCTAATAAAGCAGTAGTTTCTTCACTTTTTTATTAGCCATTGTCTTTAATGACCTTTATCTTGGCTCTAGTTTATTGGGCATCTCATGGTGTTTTTATTGAATAGTTTAAAGACATAGATTGAGGAACTTCAATTCTAGTACTTATAGCTCTTTTTGAATTTGTCTAGTAGGTCTTCCAGTTTTCACCAGAAGGCCCTCCCTCCCTAAAAAAAAAGAACATCGAGCCTTTGTAATATCATCTAGAAACATTATTCTCATATTTGTTATTTGTTTATGAGAATTTTTGAAATAGTCAAATCTTGAAATTTGCTTAATCAAATTATTTGTCTTTTCTCTTGTCATATCTTTAATTGCATTATATTCTAGAAAGCCCTTCCATATCCAGAGAGCAGATAAATATTTCCCCCCGTTTTAGTTTTATAAGTGGTTTGATTTTATAATAATTAAACTCTAAACTATGTGGGTTTGATTTTATTCTGCTGTATGTAGTAAGGTTCTATATTGATTAGGTTATACATTTCCCCCAAATTATTGACCAATTGGCCTAGTACCAAACATTAATTTGTGCCATAAGGTCCCTTTGACTTTGTCTCCCTTAAATCCAATCACAAAGATTCTAGAACAATCCTCAGTCTTGTTGTGAATGGTTTCCTAATAAGCATTTCTTATCTCCCAGCCTCTTGGCTGTCATGCTTTATCCTCCATGTGACTCAATTATGTCATCTGATCATATTCCAAAAATCTGTGTTTTTTTTGGCAGAATATTTCATTTAGGTTGAGTTACCCAGCAAAATTAGAAAAGATGATTGGGGTTTTACTCCCAAAGAACTTAATTTCTTTTTCACATCACAATAGCCACGACAAGAAGAGCCAGGAAGAAAGTCCTGCCTCTGTGACACAGAGCCAGATAGTTTATCACTTCAAGCTGTGAGGTGGAGTACCCCCCAGCCAGCTCTGATCAGATGTGGATTGAAACTCTTGGTTATTTCCAAAGAAAAGCCCCAGTGAGTTGAAAAGATATTTTAAGGCTTCTTTGTGAGGATTTCTTGATTGTTACATTCTGGAGAGCAGAAGAATGTTTTACCAATTGCCATCTGTGCTGGTGGGCAGCTCAGGAACACAGGAAAATTCAAAAGAAACCACTTGGGACAGCCTTGACTATCTTATGTGGCCACTTAGAATTGATTCTAAAAACTGATTTGATACTTTAGCAGTGGTTCTCAACCTTCCTAATGCTGCCACCCTTTAATACAGTTCCTCATGTTGTATGTGCGCAGATCTGCATGTGGGCGCCCACCTGGAGACCGATAGAGGAGCCCTGTCTCAGTTCCTGAGACCATCGAAAATGGAAATGTGTTTTCCATGGTCTTAGGCGACCCCTGTGAAAGGGTCGTTCGACCCCCGAAGGGGTCGTGACCCACAGGTTGAGAACCGCTGCTTTAGAGAAATATTTTAATCCAAATAAAGTCGATGTCAATCCAAATACTAACCCATCTCTTCCCTGAGACTGATCTTAAACAGCAGTATTTCAAGAGATATTAAATTGAAATACACATTTAAAAATGTTTTTATTTATACATGCTTACACCTAAAACTTATATGCAGCAAAAACTCCTTAACACCTTCTAAAAAGAGAGATTTGAAATGGAAAAAAATAGTCTGAGCTTCAGGCTCCCTATTTTTAAAAGATAAATACAATTTAGGTAAAAAAAAATTGAATGTTGATAGATATTTTGAACTCCAAAGCATATGGTTTTATTCCAGTATTCCATTGCTTCTCCAAAGTAGTGAATGATCCTAGCATTCATGTGAGTAATTACTTACAACAAAAGACTTAAGAACAAAAAATTTAAATGCTGAATTTAGCCCCCATCTTAAGCATATGTTACATCATGTACTGTCATCCATGTGTGTAAGGACCAGTTCTGCGGGCATGCCCCAGTACACTGTGCCAGGGACATGCAGCAGGGGTCTCTTCTGTTTGGTTAGTAACTTTGTCTACCAGTTGTAGAATACTACTTTCAATATTACCCCTGCTTATACCTCTAGAAAAATCAGAGAAAGGGTATATGTGTAAGCAAAAGTATGATTCTTTCAACATAAATTGTATCATTTGAGATTCATGTAATTGAAGAAAAAACACATTTTTTATAATAATTATGCTGCTTTGTCCATGTTGAGAATTTAGAATATTCTTTTTATGAAGGTTAAATGTTTGCTATTAGGTATTTTTTTAATATTGTGGATGTCCCCCATCCCCCCGCCCTCCCCCACTATTAGCACTTTTTATATTAAAAGAATTTAAAACAATGGCTAGAAAGACCTAACTTTAATACATTGTCTCTATAGTTTTAAAAAAAATTATCTTATTAGTTCACTGAACAATCAGTGTTGATGTAGCATTTTTTAACTGAGATTTTAAAATATAAATTTAATTAATCCAAATTTCCTTGGAATCAGTGTTCCCCTAAAATATGGTATCTACTTTAAAAAATTTTTAAATATGTTTTTATTGATATTTAGAGAGGGGAAGGAAGAGGGAGAGAGAGGAACATCAATATGAGAGAACATAGATTGGCTGCCTCCTCCATGTCCTCTACTGGAGATCAAACCTGAAACCTGGGCATGTGCCCTACTGGGAATTGAACCCAAGACCTCTTAGTGCGTGGGATGACACTCAACTAACTGAGTCATACCAGCTGGGCATATGACCTCTATTTTTTTCTCTCTTAATTTTTTTCCGTCAGAGACCCACGCATCTTTTTTAAAAGCCACATGTATTATTGGTAAAAAGAGACATAGTGCCAATCTTGAAAGTGTAACAGTTATCAGAAAAATGAAGTGAATAGGGAGAAATACCATATGGTCCCCACCTACACCTTAAGATTGTGTACAGTAAATACATCTGGTGTTCTTCCATTCTTAGCAATTGTTGTCCTAAACAGAAACTTGAAAAATTTATATTTAGGCCAATGACCTCACCAAAGGTGTATGTCTGATTCCTCCCTAGTTTATCAGAAATAAAGACTTTCACAAGTAGAATGTTAGATTAACTTTTAACTAGATGTTAGATTGAATCAGTAAGTTTCATAACTTTCATGAGAACATCCCCAAAATAAATGAAAACCAGAATGTAACATGTCCAAGTTCTTCTCATGTGGTTTGGCTCTTGAGTCATTGAAATTTGATTTTGAGCAACCCTTAGCCACTCTCCACATGGACAGCTCCTCCTTATCTCAGAGCATGAACATAAAGTCAAATCTATAGTGAATTTCTGACACCACAATAATACCAAATGGGTGAACCTATAAAGAATAACCTGCAAAGACTAGCATCCGGGCATCATCACTACTATTATTAAAGCTAATTTTTAAAATAGTACCAGGAGGAAGTTAGTATAATGTAGGGTGGATTGGAAGTCCCTCATCCTGCGTGGTGACTGCTACTGTGGTTATTTCTGGATATGCTAGTCTTTCCCAAATCAGGACTAAAAAGCTGAGTTGGTCATCCCAGCGTTGCCTTTTACCATTTCTACAGCAATCTCTCTGTTGAATCTCACCAACTGGATACTCAGTCACATCGTTCCCAGAAAATGGTAAAAGTGAATCCCCTTACCCAGTAACCCTGCTCAAGATGTAGTACAGCCTGGGTTCTCAAGGGACAAAGTGTGTTAAAACTCAGAAAAATATAGAATAATGCATCTCATAGAGCAGGAAGAAAATATACTTACTTCCTGGTATATAGTAAAGGCTTAAAATATACTTGCTGAATGGAAGGATGAGTGATAAGGGAGGAAGTGATGGAGGTTTGCAGCAGAAATGGGGGCCAGCAAGCTGCAGAGAAGAGAGTCAGAAAGGAAATGACCTAAGAAAGGAAACTGATACCAGGGTGGTGTTCGTAGACATCAATATTCCACTGAGGGCATCTAAACTGGGCAGCTGCTCTCCACCCCCTCGCCCTCCACCCCCACCCCTGCTGCACTGAGATTCCTATTATACACATTGATAGAGTCTCATAACAGCAAGTCTGAGTTGGCAGGGACAGATTGCAGGTACCTTTCTTTAAAAAACACTGTACCTGAAACAGTTCAATTAAAATTGAGCTGTAATTGGTTGAACACTGCTAACTTGGAAATGATCACATATTTCACTTCCCTGTGACTCCAGGTAACAGACATTTTCCTACACTTTTATAAGAAGACACAGGGAAGGGATTCACAGTATGGATGTCTTCTTGGGAATTTCAGAGCCTCAACTTAGACGCATAGGGACTTTCCCAATGCCCTTTAAAAACCTGCTTACAGAGCGGCAACTACTTCTCATTAGTCCAGTCTTGGTACATGTTTGGGTTGCAGATTAAGCAAGAGAGTAATTATTGGTCTAAAAAGAAGGAAGAATGGGATTCTGCAGCTAAATAATTTCTGGAGTTTTTTGGCAGTACATATTGTACATATAGTCTTGCCATTGCCTTAGTAGAACATGGGTCTGTATTCAAGTAAGAACTTGAAGAGAAACTTTGTTCCATTAATGTGAAGAGTGAACTGTTTTCCATTTGTCCTTGTCAAAAAAAAAAAAAAAAAAAAAATTGTTTTTTAAAACAAATCACAGGAAAAGAAACGAAAATTGGGATATTGCAATTCAAAGGCTCAACACGACAACATATAGGCTTTCTGCTATTACGTGCTGTGTCTCTGAAAAACTTCATGCAGTAAAACGGCCACTAAATTCAGTAAAGCAAAGCATTCAGAAATCTTTTGAACTGGAGTCACAGCTCTAAGAAAAACCACTGTTAGTACCTGTGTGGAGGGTGGGCTCCTCCGACAAGGGGCTGCCATGGGGCTGGAGGTTGCCCCCGCAGGCGTTGCACATTCTGAGAAGTGGCGGAGGCCGTGGACAGTCAACCCCTTTGCTGGAGCAGGACAGGTGGAAGTAAGGCAGTGCCGTGGGCTGACTGTCCCTCTCTGGGGAAAGCTCTGTGTGTAAATGTTCATATTTCATTTTCTCCTGAAAAAGATGAAAGAAATCCTGCCAGTGCAATATCAAAGCTGAGATTTTTCCCTTTCCTGCTGAAGGTTATGCTTCTATTCCTACTCTTCCCCTCCCCTTGCCTGGGAAAAAATCATGTACAAATTATATTTATATAATTCTCTCTTTACCAATAGTGTATGAGATATGCAGTACAGAAGCATATGTAGGAGCTGAACAGACTATGGATTAAAATAACTTTTTCTAATTATAAATGTAATTCCTTCATGTAAGGAATTTGCAAAATACAGAAAGATATAAAAAAAATAACATTAATATCAGTTTATAAAAATAACTACTATTACCCTTGCCGGTTTGGCTCAGAGGTTAGAGGATCAGCCTGCAGACCAGAGAGTCCCAGGTTCGGTTCCCGCTAAGGGCACGTACCTTGGTTGCAGTTTGTCCCCGGCCCCGGTTGGGGTCATGTGGGTGGCGACCATTCAATGTGTCCCTCTCACATTGATGTTTCTCTCTCTCTTCCTCCCCCTCTCCCTCCTGCTCTATCTGAAGATAAATGCAAAAATGTCCTCAGGTGAGGATAACGAATAAATAAATATAAATAAATAAATAACTACTATTGAAAGAAACTATGATTTATTTTCCTCTGGCCTTTTGTCTATACATATTTGTTATAAAATTAGGTTATGTTGTAGATATAAGTTTATATCCTTTGTACTTATATTATGCATATTTTTCTACTTTATTAAATAGATGGCAAAACTTCGAGCCATATTTATTTAATAAAATCTCTGCTTTTGGATAATGAGGTTGTTTCACATTGGGGAATAAACACCCTTACACATAAAAGATTATTTGTATCTTTGATTAATTCTTTAGGTTAAGTTGCTGGGCATCTTAATCCATTAGGGCTACCATAACAAAAATACCATCGACTGAGTGGCTTAAATAAGTAAACATTTATTTCTCACAGTTCTAGAGCTTGGGAAATCCAAAATTAAGGCACTGACAGATTCGGTGTTGGTGAGAGGTCACTCTCTGGTTCACAGCCAGCCATCTTCTTGCTGTGTCTTCACATGGTTGAAGGGTGGAGGGAGCTCTCTAGGGTCCTTTAATAAGGGCACTAATTCCATTTATGAGGGTTCCACCCTTATGATCTAATCACTTCTCAAATGCCCCACCTCTGAATGCCATCACATTGGGGATTAAGTTTTAACATATGAATGGGGGGGGGCACAGCATTCAGTCTATAGCACTGGGTCAATAGATATAGACACTCCTTTTTAACAATAATCTGATAATAGTAAACTTCTGTTTGTTTATTTTTAAACATAAAGACCTTAAAGCAAGAAGAAAAATAACCAACAGTACCTTGGTATTGGGGCTCTTCTTTATTATGGGAATGTCATTTATTAAAATGGTAACATGTTAGTCTCTTTTCCTCACTATTATGTTGTAAGTACATTTAGCACATCTTGAATTATCAACAGATTTGGTAGAGAGCACCTGTATTATGTATATACTTTAGATCAAGCATCAAGAAATTGATGTCATGCTTACCTCTATCTAATTCTTCTCTATATAATTTGCTGCCTTTCTCTTATCCTGTTCCTACATCTCTCCCTCGGCTGTCTTATCCTTGGTTCACAGTTATGTCTGGTGATGATTTCCCTCTAAAGTTCACACTTTACTTGTCCCTAGTTTATGTAGCTCTATGACTTTAAAACTCCCTGTGGGACATCTGAGGCAATTTGGGAGAGGGGAAAATGCAATGTCCTGAGAACTGCCCTTCCAATCCTGAGGTCCCTGTGCATGAATATGTACAGAATGGTTAAGCGTACAGGCTTTGGATGTAGAATGTTTGGATATGATTCCCAGCTCTACCTTCTTGAGCAAAGAAATGTGTGGTATCAGGAGCTCTTGGTGGTGTGTTGTGGGTAGTGGCAGCAGAGCAATTGGGGATGCTTAATTTATGTTACTTGGTTTAGAAAGATAATATGTAGCTTAAGATCTATTTGAGAGGGAATGTCAAGACAGAATTTGACTAGGTCATATAGGAAATATAATGAATAAGCTAGTATTCAATCCAGAAGATTTAGTTTCTTTCCATTGCAGTTTCTAAGTAAACTAATGGGAGTTCTAAAGAAATTACTTCTGTCAAATCTTTGGACTTTTATGGGGAAAAAAAGAAAGTCCAATAAAGTAGAGGCAGATATATATGTACTAAATATCTTTCCAGAAACTATTAAACCAGTGTCATGGGAGACTTCCTTGATGACAAGAAAGGGCTACTTCCAGTTCTTTGATTTATTATTTTTGAAAATTAGCACTAACTCAAAAGCTGATTCTCTTCCTCTCTTTTTAGCCAGCATATGTCCCAAGGAAGCTGATTCCAATAACCATCATCAAACAAGGTAATTTTTATGAGTCTGTTCTGAATATGTATTTCGAACTATTTTTAATATACTTTTTAATTTCAGGTAATATAGCATCATACATTTTTCTCAACTTTTCTGATTATTAGTTTTTAAGAAAAAGTTTGAAGAAATCAGTATGGTCTAGTAAATTACAAGTTAGGTAATTTTGGCTCTTGTACCAATAAGCCAAGTCATGGCAAGTCAGATTGGTTGAACAGTCAGGGACAGAGCAATCATAAGTATTCAATTTTTAAAAGCCTATTAAATATGTGTGGTTTAGTTTAGAATTAAGCATATATGAAGATTGTTAATAGAATTTTTGGATTCATGAAATGAAAACTATGATTTAGCGGCCACTTTAGGGAACATTAAGATATCTAGGGTTTAAGAATTATGTCTTATTTCATTTCATCATCCAGTTGTTTTTGTTTTGACTTTCAGTTTTTCAAATTAGTGAACTGGCTTTATTATATCCAGAAAGTTTATTAGTAAAAGAGATTGTATACTTAGAATTGTTCTTCATTTAAAAACTATCATGTCCCGAATATACTCTCAAAACAGGGTCAATTAGTATTGGAATTATCCAATGATTCTTTGCTTTGAGAATATACATTTTCTAATTTATATATCAGTTCATTGTCTCTTTTTGTGCTAGTTCTTCAACTTGGGTATGCTGCAGGGTTGGCTATCAGAGAGGAAACGTTCAGCTCATTAGAATAGAACACTGTGATAGAATAATAGCCTTTCATTACTTATAGGCATTGGTAGTAAGGTAAGATGCTGCCTTCTAGTTCTTTTGTTGGCTGTGTAATCAACCCAATGAGTTCCTTTCTATTAATTGAAAAGTTAGATCAGGGCTTTTTCAGTGCAAATGACTTCACATTATTAGCTTCTTATTGCTTTCTGACTCTTCTTCTACCCACTAATATCTTTTTGTATTTCAACAGTGATTCAGAATGTTACTCACAGGGCTTCAACTAAATCCCCAGATAAGCATCCCATTGGAGGAACAATACTGGGTGAGTCTTGAACTCTATACCTAGATCAAGAAAGGCTATTTTTTTTTTAATAGGGCCTTTATGGAATTTTGTACTGTGAGTAGGTCTGTTAAATTGAGGTTGCTTCATTTCCTTTCAACGTTTAGGACCCTGACTGTGTTTATTCCAGGCTAGTAGTGAAGAAATGCTACCTCTATCATTATGTGTTAGAGAAACAACTCTAGCTCATGGCTAGTGGGAATGATGGTGCCCATCCTACCTATCCCACACGTTGTTGCTGTTATGAGGGAATATTTGTCATATTAATTTCTCTTTTTTAAAAATATGTTTTTATTGAATTTTTAGAGAGAGAGAGAGAGAGAGAAACATTGATATAAGAGAGAGAGATATCAATCCACTGCCTCCTGCACACAAGCCCAAAACCTGGGCATGTGTCCTGACCAGGAATCAAACTGGGACCTCTCAGTGCATGGTATAACGCTCAATCCACTGAACCACACCAGCCAGGCTGAACTTCTCTTTTAAAAATTATTAATAATAATGGTGTTGTTTGTTCACCATGTATCTTAAAGCAGCCAATTTAAAATTTTTGAGTCCATGGATTAAAAGCCAGAGGATTTGGGTAGTTTCATTCTGAGTATAAAAAAGTCTGTTTAAAAAGCACTGTCATATTTTTTTCCAACATTGTAAAGTTTGGGTTAAAGTTGACTAAGCAAAATAAGTGCTATACTTTATATTTACTAATATCTGATGCTCTGAGCTTTATTTTATGTCGTGATATCTTTTCTTTCTCTCATCTTTACTTCTATTTCCTCACAGTCCACCTTGTTATTCCTGGTCTTAATGAAACCACCGTGAAACTTCCTACATCCATAATGTTTGAGATTTCAGATGCAATCAAGACACAATTAGGTAAGCAGCAAAATGCTATGCTTGAACTTTTCAGTGACTGAGGACTAGCACTGATATTCTTAGAATATCCAAAAAATCTGGAAAAAGAGCCATTTGGGATTTCAAAGTAAAAGGAAGTTGCAAGCATATGTACTATTAATGGGAATGTAAAATGGCATAGCTGCTATGGAAGCAGTATCACCACTCCTCAAAAACTTAAAAATAGAATTGCCCTAGAATCCAGCAATTCCACTTCTGGGTATATAACCAAAAGAATAGAAAAAAGTTCTCAAAGAGATGTTTGTGCACTCATGTTAGTAGTAGTGTTATTTACAGCAGCTAAAACATGGAAGCAACTCAGGTGTCTGACAAATGAATGGATTAGCAGAATGTGGCTTATACATACAATGGAATATTATTCAGGCTTTAAAAGGAAGGAAATTCTGACATATGCTACAATACTGATGGACATTATATTAAACAAAATAAGCCAATTACAAAAGACCAATATAAATGATGGTTACTAGGGACTGGAGGGAGGAGAATGAGGAGTTAGTGTTTAATGGTACAGAGTTTCAGTTTTATAAGATAATAAAAGTTCTGGAGATGGTAGTGATGGTTACACATTATGAATATATTTAATATTACTGAGCTTTAAATTTAAAAATGGTAAAGATCATAAACTTATGTATATTTTATCACAATTAAAAAATTGGGGAAAAAAGTAAGGGGCGAAAAAAGTTATTAAATCAAATTCTATAGGGAAATTGTTATTTTATATTAAAATATTAAATAGATTTACATTTAGAAAAGAAGAATGAACATTTATTAAATTATCCAAAATATACACATTTATATATGTATAATTTTCAAATAGAGTAATTGTTACAAATTACACTTAGTATACTATGAAGAGACCACTAGATACTTTCTATAAGAACCAGATGTAAAGGTCAACACTGTTAGCATTATTATTTATTTGAGATTGTTACTGCTTCCTTCTTCTAGAAATAACCTGATATAATTTCAGTGTTTAAAAACCATAAAACACATTATGGAAAACAATATGGTGTTTCTTTGAAAAATTAAAAATGGAACTGCCATTTGACCCAGTGGTCTCACTTCTTGGAATATACCCTAAGAAGCCTGAAACATAATAGAGAAACAATATATGCACCCCTATGTTCATAGCAGCGCTATATACAATAACTACGATCTGGAAACAACCCAAGTGTCCATCAATAAATGAGTGGATAAAATACCTATGGTACATTTACACAATGAAACACTATGTAGCAGTAAGAAGGAGAGATCTCTTACCCTTTGAGACGACATGGAGGGACTTGGAGAGTATTTTGTTAAGTGAAATAAGCCAGTCAGAGAAAGACAAGTACCACATGATCTCACTTATTTGTGGAACATAATGAACAAAATAAGCTGTCGACCAAAATAGAGCCAGAGTCATGGAAGTAGGGAATAGACTACAAACCTCAGAGGGATGGGGGCTTGGAGGGCTGGGAAGAGATCAACCACAGAACTTATATGCACATATGCACAACCAACGGACATGGACATTAGGTTGGGGAAAGCAGGAAGGGGTGGGAGCGGGAAGGAGGGGGTCAGTGGGGATAAAAGGGAAACATCTGTAATACTTTAAACAATAAAAAATAAAAATAAAAGTAAAAATAAAAATAAAAAAAAACATAAAACATAACAATTGGGGGTGGGGGGACCACAGCAAAGCCTTTTCAAAGGAGCCCATGGAGCCCAGTCGGTGTGGCTCAGTGGTTGAACATTGCCCATACACCAAGAGGTGGCCAGTTCTATTCCTGGTCAGGGCACGTGCCCAAGTTGTGGGCCAAATCCCCAATTGATGTTCTCTCTCAGTGATGTTTCTGTCTCTCTCTCCCTCTCCTTTCCTCTCTCTCTGAAGTTAATAAAGGAAAATAATAAATAAAAGGAGCCCAGGGAATAATTGTGGTGGTCGCTGGGCTAAATGAGTGCTGCATTTGAGTATCAAATTAGTTTGAATTCTCTCGATAGCAGAGGATATCAGACTTGATCAAGCATCAGACAGTCTAGAGGGTTTGTGGACACAGACTGCTGGGCTCACCCCCAGAGTCACTGATTCAGTAAGTCTGAGGTGAGGCCTTAGTATCTGCATTTCTTACTAGTAGGTCATACTCCTGCTGCTGGTCTGGGAACCATACTTTGAGAACTACCCCTCTAAAGTTTCTGGAGAATGTCTTGGGCTATTGATAAATATGGAAGGAAATGGAGTAATGTGATAGAATTTGAACAAGACTTAACAATGCAGAATATTTTCCCTACAGTAGGTACCAGTTGAGTTTCAGCACTTACATGATTGAATCTTCACATTGTATGGATGCAAAAACAGAGGTCCAAGCCCCTGTCTGGTAGCATTCAATGAATAAATACTTACTAAGCATTACTCTGTGCCAGACAGCGAGTTGCTGGGGTCTATCATGGTGAGTTACACAGACACAGGACCTGCCCATACTGGGACCTCAGACTTATTTTTCCCTTGTTGAATGGAGACTTGGCCTGTTTGCTTTTTTGACAGTAGGCAATTAGACTGTAACTGTTTTAAAAGGTGAGGACTCTTAAATTGTCCTTGGGTGTTGTTAATTTTGAAAACTTCCTGGAAGAAGGAGGGGCAAAGCCTTTAGTGGGTAGAAGAACACTGACTAGGAGGACTATTAGACATACAATTTTCAAATAAATAAAGCCCAAAGCTTATGCATCACCATTTCCTTAAGATGTGAAAATATTTGCTAATAAATCTTTGATTTTGTGCAGTCCTTACATTTTTACTGTAAAATATTCACAGGTAATAGTACTAGTGAGTTACCTTTGACTCACAGCTTCGAATCTGTGATTTTTATATCAGACCTAATCACCTCCTTTTACTGTAAAACCTGGTGACTCGACTCGACACCTGACGGCATGTGCTCCACAGCTGCCAAGACGGCACTGGGCAGAGAGGGTGGAGGTGGATGCTCAGGAGGGTAGGAAACTTACCCCCTCATTTCAATATTGCTCCACCTACCAATTTCTCAGATCCTGAAATGCAATATTTAGAATACAATATGCCTTTTTAAGGAATTGGTGATGTGTAAATGATACAGTCCTCTCTTGGGAAGGTTGTTTACCCTTTTTTCTTCTTTTTCAGCCTAGTTTTAGGCTAGGTGATTGCCAGCTAATGGCATGTTTAGAATATAAGAAGCTAAAGCAAAACAATTTAGAGCATTGCATGAAAGTGTAGGATCTGGGGGTTTAAATTAATTAGTAAGTAAATAAATAGTCCTAGTCAGCCCGGCAACCACCAAGAACAGAGGATACTACACAGGAAGGAGAGGATTAGCCAACGTGTCCTAATGGGTCAGAGGACACTGCAGAAGTAGAGACCATTAAAAAAACCCTTATAATCTTACATTCAAAAAATAAAAACAAACACCTTCCTATGCACATGCTGAAAATAACAGATCCAGAGCTTGCTCATAAAAATTTGTAATCTGAGTGGTCTTTCCTGTGTTAACAACCACAGTGGTTCTAAACAAAAACTGTGACTACAGAAAAAGGCAGAAAAAAAGGTTGATCAAATTTAGAAAATTTCAAAGTAGAATTTTTCATAAAATTATACTGGCTCTCTGTTTTCAGTTTTCCCCGAAATAGAGTCCCCTATCTTTATGCCCTTCTAAATTAATTTGAATAGTGGCATTAAATATGTACACACATGCTGTGCAATTTCATGTGCACATGGATCAAAACAGACACGTGGCTATTAGATATGATATGGTCAGTACGTAGCATTTGTGATACCTATTTCTAGCATTTTAAATCACTCCTGAAAATAATCTGCTCTATGGAGGAATCTATTGAACACTTCTATAATAAAGATTAAAATTGATTGGCTTTTAATTAACGTTTATAACTGCCTCCATTACAAGTAAATATTTTATGCTCATGTCAACTGAAAAGAAAATGGTCTTGACAGCAGTGATGTGAACTACAAAAGGAGGTTACAAAGAGGGCATCCTCAAAGAACTTGGAGAGAACAGGTCACATCAATAGTTCTTACTGAAGAGCACTTTTGCCCCCCAGGGGAAATTGGGCAATATCTGGAGACATTTTTGGTTGCCACAACTAAGGATGGGCTAGTGGAATCTAGTGGGTAGAGGCCAGAGGTACTACTAAACATCCTGCAACATAGGAAAGGCCCCACAACAAAAAAATCATCCAGCCTAAAATGTTAATAGCATCAGAGTAACCCAAGACTTTCCTGTACAGCCTTAGGGCTCTAAAATTTCCCATCTGATTACAATCAGTTCAAGGAGACATAATCAGGGTATCTCAAAGATGAATTAATTCTTTCATGCCACTGGACTGTTTCAAAATATTACAAGTAGGTCATTGACTTAGTGTACGAAATAACTGAATCAAGTTAAACCTTGGTGCATTTTTAAAATGGGGAATATCTTAATCATGGGGCAACTCTGGTATAGAAATGTACTTTCTTTGAAAAAGAATACCTAAATTTAGAAGGAAGTTTCCTGAATAGTTGTCTAAAGGGGGGAGGGGTATCTATTTTAATCTTTATACTGAATACCCACCATGACCAAAACGAAAGGTCTTTGTTAACATGTGGCTCAAATAAATTGCTGTTGGTATTTTTTGGCCACAAATATTTTTAAATAATTTAGTTTCCCATGTGTGTTATTTGTGGTTTTTTTAAATTTCAGTGTCTGAATCTATTACATATTTTACCATGAATAATAATGGAAATTTTCTACTCACTGATTTATTTTTTTTTAAATTAGGAGTACTTGAATATAAAGGTCCATTGAGTATTTGCAATGCAATATATGCCTTCCAGAAACTCTATGAATCAGAACGACTTGTTATCCAAGTATTGGGTTGTGATTTTTTTTATTCATTCCAATGCCAACTTACATCTTAAAGAATTACGGAGGGTTAATAAGAAGGCATTCTGAAGACTGCCACCTATTCATGCTAATCTCTGCTAGACATGCACAGTAAATTCGTTGCCCGCCTGCCTTGTTGAAAGGGGTGCGAGCAGAATACATTTCTGAAAATAGTCTGTTACGTGATTATGTTTTGAGTGAATTGTATTTGGACATTGTGTGTGTTCTCTGACTTTTTTTTTTTTTTTTTTTTTTAGCTAAGAATGAAACCTTGGCATTACCAGCTGAATCTAAAACACCAAAGGTAGAAAAAATCCCAGCACAGCCCATAACAGGTAATGAGATCCCTGCGTTGTTAACTTGGAGGAAATAAGTAATATTTTTTCAAATAGTAAATGATTGACAATCCTGTACTTCTTTTCAGTGAAGAGCCAGTAGGAAATTCATTTTGATTGAAAGCACAAAATGATAGGTGACTCCAGTCCTTAATCTAATGTTTGGAAGAAGAACAGATGCAAAATGAACTGTTGAATCATCTAACTGATATATAATATGAAACTGTATTTTTCACTCTTTCTGAGAGTTGTTGCCTAATCATTCTCAAATATTTTTATACCTAAATGTAATTCCTGGCTTTGGTCTTTTCTTTACGTGAAAACATGAGACCACTTTTCATTTCTCACTTTCACAAGTGGTCAGTTGAGCAAAAGGCCAATATCCTTCACAAATCCATAGCCTGAGATCTATATTATTTAACAACAATGTCTTTGGAAGATTAAACTCCTAATATAGACAGTGTATACTAGTTTAGTAAAAATCCTTTAAAGAATAAATGTGGTATGTGTCTTTCCCACAGTTTATCAGCTATTACTAACAAACATTCAGCATTTCTTCTATGAATGAACTGCCCAAGTTCAGCCCACTGAGGACACAGTCTTCTCTGAACTACAGAGTTTTTCCAGAGCAATACCACCTCATCTAGGACTCAGTGAAGCAAACAGCTGGCAAGCATTTCCCCAAATTCACATTAAGCAAAGTAACTCCAATCTAAAGTAAAATTTTTAGTCTATAAAATTGCTATAAATTGAAATATTAGTGATGTTTACCTTTTACTAAACTCTTGGACTCATAACTGGTCCAGAGAATATAAAGATTGGAGGAGAAATAAAATAACGTGATTTCAAGAAACCAGTAAGGATATTTCTGACAAAGCAAGAAGTATGTGGTTCTGCCTAAAGGAGAGAGATGGATCTTCCATCTGTCACCTTAATGGCAGTCGGGGAAGAGGTAAAAGCTATTCAAGAAGCTGAAATAATCTATTTGAATGAAATTCCTAAGTAGTTTTCTGATTTCCAAATAATTGTCCAATACCAGTAAAAACATGGGCATGTCCCAGTGGATGCCTACAGCTTCTTTTCTGCCCCAAAGATTCTACCCAATTATACTTTCTTCTTTGGGCACATTATCTCATGGGAGAGTCACAGATTTCTTAGTTCTCTTCCAAACCTTCCTCACAACTTCCCACTTCAGAAACACTTAAACACCATAACTTATTAGTCAGTGATGTTGTGTTATCACAAGTCCTTACCCTGCAAAACTTCTGGAATCATCTAGCCCTCAACTCACTCCAGATCTCAGTGATCCTGTTTCTTGTTTCTGGAAAACGATTTAGCCGAGGTTGCCTTTGCCTTTGATCTAGCACGTGGAGCACCCTTGTGGCTGAGCATTTTCGAAGCCTTATCATAATTTCAACCTTTGCGTGTTGACTGCAGTTTGAAAGAGAGAAATCATATAATGTAATAGTTCTAAATAAACCTTTTGCTCTGAGTCATTGTTTTATTTGCCCATTAATTTGTTTAATAAACATTTATCATGTGCTGGCTTATTATACCCCAGACATTGTGCTACGCCCTGAAGCTAAAGAGAAAGAAAAAGGAAGACAAATAAAACGTATGATTAATCTGATAAATGCTTTCTCGGAGGTCAGTGTGCTTTGTGTAACACATGGAAAGTGAACCAGACTCAGAAAGGAAAGGTTGGGAGCAGTGTCAGATGAAGTTATTAACAAAGGAAGTTGAAAAGTAATGAGCTTTGAACTATGTGTCAGTTACTAATTCTAAAGGGCAACAAGTATCTTACAGTCTTTGGTGGTTTCATAACTTTATCTTAATTTTTAAAGTTGTCTTTTTTACCTTCCAGTGACTCCTGACTCAGTTCCAAGAACCACTAAATCCACTGTGTCTAGTGCGTTAGACATTTCAGAAACAACACTGGGTAATTCTAAGAAGTTTTTTTCCCCTAAAACAAACAAACAAAACCCTCCCAGCACTCAGAAAAATGTAACCCAATACCTTACCTTTCCCCCCATCTCTCACCTCCTTCCTGGCAGTAGTCAATCTTCCTATGTCTTAGATCGATTTTATTAAAGAGTTAACAACATGCCTTGATCCTGGTGAATAATATTCTAGGCAGCTCTGGATGCTAGGTGCTAACTGCACCCCTTTCGCCAGTCTCCTGCGATGTACAGAAAAACAGAGTTCCAGCCTTTTAACCCAGTAGGCTTGGAGAGGTGGGGAAACCTGGAAGTCTTGACTATGTCTGTGCTTTCTGTTTTTGTTGGCTTTTCCAAGTCTTATGTGTACTAAATATGAGAAGAATCCCCAAAAGTGTCATGCTTTCTAATAACAGTTTCACATCACGCCTGTTAGCTGCTTCTTGGCCCCAGAAGGTCTTACTTGCTTCGTTGTCTTCTGAAGAAAAGGAGCAGCATGTATTTCGTGCCGTACTTGTGACGTTGATCATCGTGCTTCACCACGGCCCTTTGAAAGTGTGCCTTCAGATTTGAACAGCTATGTCAGCCTTTGCCAGGGACAGCCAGCTGTGTCCGTGGAAGGCCTCAGCCGCCTGGTGCACACTCCGTTTGAGCATGCATCACACAGCAGCATCCAATCCTGATTCATGCAGCTGCTAACCAAATTCTTCTTTATTGTAGTTCTCAGCAAAAAGACCCCGGAAGGATTGCAAACTATTCTAATACCTAGGTTTGAATTACCACTCAGCACTCTAGGTAAACATTTTAAACACTGCATTTTATTATTACCTTGGAAAAGTTATGAATGCTTGAAAGATGCCCTTAGGCCAGTTTATTCAAATTTATCTCCTCACAGGAAAGAAGGGATACCTGGCTTATAAAATCATAAGATCCCCAATACAAGTTTTGTAAATATTATAAAATCTTTATTTTATAATTTAGGGTCCCCAAGAGTCTCTCTCTATATAACAAATCCTTCAGTTTTTTGCGGTTTTTTTTGTTTGTTTGTTTTTGGTGGTCATACTTTTGTTATATTTGAGTCTTTTAATTCAAAATCATTCTGTCACTGAATAAATTATTTTCTACAGTTTCTCTAAATACCTTTTACTCAATTTTTTCCTCTTCACAGAGAAGATATTTTTATAATATTTATGCAGACTGTTTCTTAGAATTCTTTAGGTTTCTTTATGAGCACAATATCAAAAAAGTTGGAGCAGGTGAGCTTAAATATAAAGCCATGTAGTCACTAAAATTCTATTTTTAAAAACTAGTAAATGGACATTTTCTAGTTCAGATATGTTTGGTGCTTGATTTGCATCTAAGAAATACATCCAAGAGCACACATACACATAGCTGAAGAAATTAGGACACAAATCTAATACAAATGAAAAGAAGAGCTCAAATTGCTCAAATACAGTACCTTGATTATTTAAAAAATAGAAAAGAAAGTTTTATTAAATCATCCAATGTTGAAACACAGGATTAAGAAATACTGCTAACAGCCCCTTATTTAACATGAGTAATCTGCCTTTCTGTGTTTGTTTATTGTTTTAGTAAAATCTTTTCTCTGTTACTTGCACCTCAAGTCATAACATTTCTTATGTGTTTCTTTACAGCTCCGAAAAGACTTCCAGAATTTCCTCAGGCAAAAACACCCTTCCCTTTTGAGAAACCTGGGGGCACCTTGGGTAATAACAGCACCTGAAATCTGGTGTTAAGATGTGGGTGGTGACTGCTTAATTTGGGAGGACACATTTACTGGGTCCTATCTCTGCAAACCTCAGTGAACTGATAAATTCCGTTCACTTGGCCAAACAAGTGGTTAGTTTGGTAACACAAAACAAAAAGAAATACCTCTTTGTCTGATTAGATCTTTTATAAATTTAGTGGCAATCATCAATCTGTTAATTCCACATAGCTTATTAAATTAGTTTTCTGTCCTCAGAAACATTGAGAGTATGACCCCGAGCTTTGGTCTCTCTCTCTAGTCACTAATCAAATGCTCTCAGGATGGGTACATTTTAATTTCTTCCTGATAGATGATGGCTCTTGATTGGATCAGGATGTGCTTTCATTGAAGGATTCTGTAGTCAACCATACCAACAACCTATTTCTGTTTGTCCTCCTCAAAAAGTCTTAAGCAAATCCCCTTTCTTTTTGCTGTAGCTTCAAGTGAAAAACCACAGACTGTGCCTATAACTAAAACATCTGAAGATTCCAAAGTTCTACCGCCTCAAACTGGTAATTGCATTCTTTTAAAAAAATAGATTGGAACAACAGTATTCAGTAACTTTTTGTTTTTATTTTTATAGGTTCCTTAGTTGATTATCAGTATACTTTGTAGAAAATGATGGAGCTATAGTTCACTCTTGATACTAAGTGAATCTCATTTTGTTTTCTTGGTACAAAAGGAAAACATTTTTACATTTGTTTTAAAGATCTGTATTTTAACATCTGGACATCTACTTAGAACTTTGGCTAGAAGACGAACTATGCATTGGCTCATTGATTTTCTAGAGATGTCTTTAGTGACATGAGAGCAAAAATTTAGTAACAAAAATAAGAAGCATCATCATCATGGGTCTGATTGAATAGTATGGATGTAATGTTTTCCTTGCAGGTAGACATTTGCTTCTTTTTCAGCAATGAACCTTTTTTCTTTTGAGTGGCAATTATTGCTATTTATTGAGCACCTTTTATATGCCAAATGTGATACTCAGTACCTGGGAGTGAGCTGTACAACTTGGGGCCCAGGGGCCAGTGATAGAACATTGCATCCAGGGTCCGACTTCAAAAGACTTCCCAGCCCCCACATGTCCTCAAGTCAGCCTTGATTTGTTCACTAAGGAGCAACTGAGCCTGCAGGTGGAAATTAGAAAGTCTAGATGAGTGTGGGCAGAGAAGGTGACTCTCATTGCCCCTCAAACCATACTTTACATTTGTTAACAATGAACATTTGAGAGCCTGCTATATGCAAGACATTATTACTAAATTCTAAAATCTGTAAGCATATTGTGATATAGAGGGAAGACCACAGGTCTTGACATTAATAATGGACTTTGGGCTCAGATCTCAGCAAAAGATACAAGGATGTATCAGATAAAGTAAGCTTGTCTATTTTTATAATCTATAGTTTTCTCAAGTGGGAAAACACTTGAAAGTTGGTTATAGTTGTCAACTAATCCAGACAATCCGCAATCTGGGTGTTTCTAAGCCATAGTTCCCCTAGTCACTGACCCAGAAACTTTAGTGCAATTACTTAATGTGTATGCAAAAATACATTTAGCAATCCAGGTCACCTGAGTCCAAATTCTGGGTCCTGGGTTGAGTTTTGTACGGATCCTCTGGTTCCATTAGCTGTCATACAGGCACAGCTGCACTGTGACTATGGAGAAACATTTAGTCTAAGGGCATCTGTGATAGTTTATCTGCCACACTGGCAGGCCTGGCCTGACTCCCACGTCCTTGGTGAGCATCACATCTCTCAAACTAAGCACTGTGGGGGCTCACTGGACGAGAGGGACTCTTAGGTTCCTTTCATCTCTTAGCTTCTGGGTTATAACATAGGACACAGGGTCCCCCAAGGTTTCCTGTAAGCATCCTTTGTTTTTGTTTTTGTTTTTGTTTTTGGTGTCTTTGATTATTCAAGAGCAAAATGACCAAAACCTCAAGGAAACCATATGGAGTTTTAATGCCTATGGCATGAATTATATATAAAGCCTGAATCAAACCAAATACCGGGGATAGAGAGAATATGTTGGGAAGTAAAGGTTGTCGAGTTACAGAGACAGAGATAGATGAGATTAGAAATCTCATTGAAGGCAAAGTTCTTTTTGCCTTTAAGTTCAGAAAAGGAATGTTCTGGTTTTATCCTTTTAGAATATAAATAATGGCCAATGCAGCAGGAAGCAGTTTTATTGTTCCGCCACCTCACTCTGCCAGGGCAACTTGAGGCCGCCAGAGAACATCCAACCATCGACCGCCAACCTCGTCAGGATGAAGTGTTAGGGCTTGTCGTGGGCTGTGATACTTCAGTATGTAATGAGTGCAGGCATGAGCATTAGCCCCAAGAACTCCTCCCCTGCCCTTGCAACACTTAATTGTTCACCTCTGCTACTTAGTGCGATCTTTGGACCAGTGATGTTGGTATCACTGGGGAGTTCATTGAAAAGGCAGAATCTGGGGCTCTGCTCCAGACCTACTGAGGAAGGATCTGCTTTTAACAAGATCTCCAGGTGATTAGTATGAACATAAAGTTTGAGACGCACTATCTTATCACTGGAGTCTGTAACATTTCCCATGGTACACACAAGAATCACCAAATGTGGTTAATTGTAGGACAAGAGGACTCAAATCAATATAAGATTGCTTTTCAAAGTGAGTGATTGTTACCTCTTGGTTTTGCTAATGCACACAATGCTTGCATCTAACTCATTATATAAGGGTTCTGTGGCATCTTCTTAACATTAAATTTCAAATTAAAATTCATCATATGCATTATTGTGATTTAAAGTGTTGATATAGCCATGCTATTCTTTCACTGACTTCAGCCTTTCTTGTTCTTGTGATTGATTTTGTGTGAATTTATACATGTACTAAGTATCTATTTCCTATTTAGTTTCAATGTATGTTATTATTTTAATTTCCAGTTATTGACATGGTTTTTAAATGCAACTGTTTTGAGAATTAAGAAGAGAAAGACGTAGAGACAGTACTTGCATGCTGGTCCATAAAACCATTGATCCCATTTTTAGTTGTTATATCCTTTGAAGAAATGATATATTTAGCTGGTATTAGTTATATTATTATAACAAATTTTTTTTTTATGTTGAGATATGATGCATCTATATTTACTATGTCAACTTCCTTCACCCCCAAACCACCATGAATATCTATATTTAAAGTTAAGTTTATTTACTCGTTGCAACAATGGAAAATACATGCCATGAGAAACTGTGGAAACTTTTAGTAAGACTGTATTGGAAAGGACTTATTGTAGGATTCGGTCTTGTATTAGGTGATGCTGAGGAGGATCCAAGGAAGTGAAGCTTTGCTCTGGATAGGATGCTGTCAGAAATGGAATAATTCTGTGATTGAATATCTTAATAATTCTTATTTTTCTATCTTATACACAACTAATTTAATTATACATAGCTTGTTCATTTATTTTTTTAGTGTTGACACTATTACAAATGTCCCCCATATATCCCCCTTTTTACTCACCTCCTCCCAACCCACTCCCCTGGCCTTCACCACACTGTTGTCTATGACTATGGGCTATGCATTTATATTCTTAATAATTCTTAATGAGAAGACAAGAAGGACAGAGTGAAGCTAATGTGATTGGCAAGGAGACAGCAGTTAGTCATATTAGTCAGACTGTGGGACAGTCATTTTGTGTTTTATCTTTTGTTCCACACCATTGGAGAGTGCTCTTGTTTTTGCCTCCATCCATCTTAGTCACCGAGTGGTCATGTCTGATATTAATGTTCTTTCACATTGTTGATATTTATTCAGCAAGAGAACACCAAGCCTAGCTGTGGGTACCAGACTAGCACTGGATGCCAGGGGCTGCTTTTCCCTTTATCAACCATTAAACATGATTTATCAATACCATTTGTAAAAGTAATTTTGCTTCAGCATTTACTAGATTTGTTTTCCACATTTACTTCATATCAAATCATCAGAATGTATGCTCTCCAAAGGATTTCTGTATTACTTTTGGATATAAAAAGCTATGTGGAAATTCTAACTTGCATGCTAAATATTGAAATCCCTGGGTCATTTCAATAGTTTATGACGAGAATGGAAAAGGGTATGTATAATTTGGAATATTTCAGGAAATCTGAGAAATATAGTCATCAAGTGTATTCTTCTCCACTTTCAGCCTATTTGCCCTAATCATTCATTAGTGCTAAATTTTGCGATCTCATTATTTGAATTGTATTTTGTATCAAACTTTCTCTAAACCACATGTAAGGAGCATTGATTTATTTTTATTCTCTTGACAAGTCCAATTCTCCTTAAAGTATAGAAAGGTAATTACAAAAATCTGCTCTATAATTACATGCCAGAATGCCAACTTATTTATAAAGTCTGTATTAAAAGAAAGTTGGCCACATTTTTAGAAATACTTTTAGAAATGCTTGTGACAATTATTCAGAAAAGTCAGTCTTTCTGATGATAAGTAGAATTGGTCTTATGTTCTATTGGGAGGTGGCCAGTTGACTATGATTTCTGTGTTATTGCAGAGTGAATTCCAGAAAAGCTCTCAGAACCTTGTGCCCCCTGCCCAGCCCCACGAATTTTATACTGCATGTGTGTACATGTACTTGCTGGATTACTTCTTCACTGGAATAATATAATTTTGTATATACATAGCAGTTTTCTATTAAGAGATTCAAAGAGTTGTATTTATACCATCATACTGACCCTTCAGAAGTTTCTGGAAGCAAACAGTTATTTTCTTTTGTCTTAAGAAGATACGTGAGAGACTTGCCTTTGAATAGGTAGAGGAGCAAAATCTAGATCCTCATTCATTTCTTTTTGAATCTTGCCAACAAACTACTCCATGTTAAAAGTGAAATAATGCCATATAACTTGCTTTGAAATTTTCACAGATTAGTACAACAGAGTAAATAAAAAAAATTTTTTTTTTTTTGGTATGTGCCCCTATCAGGAACCAAACCCAGGACTCTCTGGTCTGTAGGCTGACACTCCAACCGCTGAGCCAAACCAGCCAGGGCATAAATCAAATGTTTTTATCAGAGCCGGGTACCTTCTAGATTTTTAAGAAAGAGCAAGTAGTCTGCAAGAAAGGCTGGCCAGTCCATGAAGTTTATTCTCACTGTGAATGTGATCACTAATCTGTGAGCTATAGGATGAGACAGAGCTGGATTAATACCTACTCAACTATTAACCATTTATGTGGCTGGAGACAAGTGATTTAACCTCTTAGATCCTCAGTTTTCCCATCTATTAAAGGGAAATAATATATAACTTTTTTCATTGGGTTGTTATGTGTTAGAAATAATGAGTGAGTCACTTAATCTAAATTATAGTACATAAGGGGTGTCCTGTTACCATTTACTTACTGCAGTGAACTGTTACATTGAATGCATTTCCTTCCCACCACCCTAGATTTCCTGAATTGCTATAGATGCTTAATAATAATATCAACAATAATAAATTATTTAATTAATAAAAAGAAAGAGAGAAGAGAAAAAGACTTAAGCCTGTAT